TATATATATATATATATATTTTTTTTTAATTCTCTCCCACAAATTAGTTATTTTAAGGAACTGAAAAATAAAACTATAGCATTCGTTCCATTAATTATTTTGTCAAATATATCTCGGTATAAATTGCATTTTTATTTTTTCTAAATTTTGCATTAGCATCCTTCTTTCAGTCTCATATTTCTGACAGTACAATATAACATGTTCCACTGTTTCTTCTTGTCCACAAAATTCACACCTTCCCGTATCATGTTTACCCATTTTAAAAAGTGTACTATTTAGTCTTGTGTGTCCAAATCTCATCCTCGATATTACGATCTCATCTCTTCTGTTTTTCCCTGCACTTCTCATCTCTCCCACTTTCCTCTGAATTCTGTAAAACCACTGACCTTTTTTCTCCTTATCCCATTGTTTTTGCCACCTTTCTTTCAGTCTTTTCTTAATAATACTCTTGATTTAATTCTTACTTAGATGAACAAATAAGTTAATGTCGTTGTTTTTAACTGCTTCTTTTGCTTCTTTATCTGCAGTTTCATTTCCTTGGACACCAATATGCGCCGGCACCCATACAAATACCACTGTACTCCCCATCATTTGAATTCTATATAACGTTTGCATTATTTCCATTAAAATGTCTGGTCTACTTTCCGAGTGACTGTACTGTAAACTAGCCAATGATGAACATGAATCTTATCTCTGCTATCCACTGTATTGCTAATAATAGTGCAATCATTTCCCCTGTATAAACTGATAACTCATCACTGATCCTTTTCCTTACTGATAAATGCATTCTGGAACAGTAAATGCTACTCCTACCTTATTGTCTAAACTCTTTGATGACAGGATCTGTTTCCTGTCAAAGCATAATAAAAGTTGCATAATGATGTTCAAACTTGTTGGTTAAAGTCTCACTCTACATCCAAAAAACAATACAACTGCAAAAAAAACCGAGTAGAATGAGTGAAATGCGGTTTCTACTGTGTTCAGAGCATAGACTTGTTCGGAGGTCTCCTTTAAATGGTCTTCTGTGGTCTCCCTATCACATTTAAATGATATTAAATAATACTTTATTAATTTTACTTAATAATATCATAACACTTTTACGTCTAGAATCACACAAAAAACCTCAAATGCTAAAAAAAAGCCCTGTGCTTTGCTCACATTTGGTGTCTGTCTCACTGTAAGCAGTCTGTATATTTAAAGACCACCACTAGGTGGTACCAGTAGATGATTCCTTATGCAGAATACAGTTTGACGGCTGGAATGTGATCACTACGAGATCCACGTTACTTCTCTCCAAGTAGTTCATGATTAAGATTCAGAATGAGATTAGGAAATTACTCAATTCAATCAGCATGAAATCAATTTGTTAAATGATGTTCATTTTGATCAGTTAACTCGTATCGTACCCGTACCCTCTTAAATTAATATCTTTTTTTTTTTTAGGATTACTGATAAACTAATGTAGTTTGATTTGTATTAGTTATCTATTTTAGTTTTAGTCACAGTTGTAGTAATGCTGTCCTTTTATTAGTTTTTTTATTTATTGATTTAATTTGAGTTATTTCAGTACTTCAACATACAAAATGGAAATGAAATAATATATATATGTATTGAATGTATTTATATATATATATGTACATGTGTGGCTGTACATACACATATGTAGTTGTTTTTTGGTGTTTGGCTTAGTGTTATGTTAGAATCATTATTATACTCAAACCTTTTGTTCTTTTAATATTTTGAATTGCTTTAATTTTTTGTTTTCATTTAAATGTTTAGTTTTGAAATGTTGTTGTATGCATTTGTCATTTTTATTTCATTTCTTTTCTTTTCTTAAATGTGTATATATATAGTATTTATAATTACTTTTTCTTATTTGTAAGTCGCTTTGGATAAAAGCGTCTGCTAAATGACTAAAAGTAAAGTAAAGGTCAGAGGTAGTGATATGTACCTTAAATTTAGATTTTGCTTTCGCTTGCTTAAATGTAGGATGGTTACTGAATAGTAGAGACTTTGGCCTTATTACTTCACACCATATGTTGAAATATTACAACCGTGAGTTATAACTGCATATTAGTTCATCATGATATCTTCAACAGAAACCTCAGTGAGCCACCCATGTGGTGTGGTTTATATAGTCTAATAATAATCGTTTATCACTTCTTACATTTTCTTTTCAGGTGTTAAGACTACATCATAAATCACATCAAGTATGTCATAAATTTAAGTCAGTAAGCTAAAAACTTGGTCAATAACAATGGGGGAGGGAATCAGTGAAAGTCATTTTCCTCAATTCTGATTGGTCGGTTTGCCATCCCTGATTGGTTGTTGCACTGACTGGGCGGAGTCTACGCAGAGCTCTGAACGGATGTTTCCGGGTTGACCGTTGTTTGACAGATCAGGACGGACCGTCGCTTTCAGGTATGGTTATAAACCAAATATCACGCACAATTTACTGGTTGTCCGGATTATGTGAGAGAAGAGTGTATATGTAGTGTTAGTTTACCGTGAGAGTTTGCCGGTGGAGGTCGCAGACGGTGCGCCGAGGTCACCGCACAGCATCACAGCACTGAATGCGGACAGAAAACATCGAGACCTCACGGCTGAGTCATGGCTTTCAATAACACACACATCTGCGATCAGTTTATTCACGCTCATTGGTTTAGCTTGTTTGCTGAGACATGGTCAGCTGATGAGACACAGCCATGTGAAGCGGTTTCATTATTCCCTCATCTGAGGATGTGTTCTGCGGTTCATATCACATGGTGATGAGCATAAATTATGTTTCATGGATCCTGGTTTCTCAGGTATATTATGCTATAGCAGCATGTGATAGTCTTTGGGCAGTGGAAGATACAAAGATCTGTATGCTGGGCAAGCTAGCACTTTTAATGAATACATGTAGGATACAATTTAGTGTCCCATTGCAGAGCAGAGGTGCTGATTCCATTAGGTGTTCATTTACTATTAGAAAAGTTAGACAAAGTATTTATAAAATTAATGTAGCATGAAAAGTAGCTAGTTTTAAAGACACCAACATTAAAATGGTGGTTTGTATTCATCCCACCTTAGAGAGCTCGACCTTCTTGGCTGTATCTGTTCATTAAAATCATACAAAATTGTCACAATTTTGCCGTAATAGGCTGAATTGATGTTTAATTAATTACTAAACTAATCTGAATGACAAAAACATGAGTCCCGCTTTTAACATTTTTGCTGTATCAATATCGTGAAATTTGGTGTATCATTCAAAATGATTATTGTATTTTTATGGCTAGAAAAAACTTTAGCTTATAAAAAAATTTGTGATGCATCGAAATGACTTTTTACAGAGACACCAAAGTCAAAATTAACATTTCTTTTTAGCTGAAAAACCTAAATAAAATGTGGGTAATTGAGAGACTGAACTCTTATGCTGTTCAGGGTGTCATGTACAGCTGAACAAATTTTGCATATCTCTACTGTTACGTTCTCCCCAGTCTAGGGTTGGGAATACCGAACTAATTATTAACAAAAGATGATTAAGCAACGATACCCGCCTCTCTCCTGTCCCAGCTCACACACAGAAACACAACGGAGCGAGAGTATATTCAATAATACGTTTTTAATTCACAAAGTAACATAACAAGAAGCGTGAATCTTCAGGAGGGGTCAAGGCCAAAATAAACAAAAGAAGAACTAACTAAAACATTAAGCAGTAACTTACCCAACAAATCAAAACCCAAACAAAATACAATACTCTCCCCTTACTCCCTAGCTGTCAATAAACAGGAGATAACAAGGGATCATAAAGTAAATGGCAACCTCCTCCCTACGGCTTCTTAAACAAATTAATAACGCCGACACAAAATAACTCATTTAGAATGACAACAACCCGTCAGCCACCACAATACCACGGATGCGTTGACGACTGGGGCAGGAGGCGTAGGGCAGTAACGGCAACGACCAACACGGCGGGACTCAACACGCTGCTTAGTGCTCTACCATTTTCCTCTTCCTTCTCAGCTTTTAACCACTCTCGCTCATCCACATAATCAGCTGCAGCTGCGTCCAATCAACACTGCGCAGGGAAAAAGGGAAGAGAGAGAGAGTGAGAGAGAGAGAGAGAGAGAGAGAGAGACAGAGAGAGAGAGACACACAGGAAATGGCACCATACACAAAACATCTCTGCACATTGAACAATCAGGATGAACAATAAAAGCACTTCTGTCCAGAGGACGTAACACTACTCTGGCATTATTTGTGGTCATGGTGAAGTGTGTACGCTGATATGTGGTTTTGGCCCTCCAAACTATCTTGGCTGAAACTGGAAACTCTGTTTTTTTTCTCACTGTTTTGGCTGAACATTTTAGGTTGCTGAATTTTTAGGTTGCCAAAATCGAATGGCACCATCTTAAAGAGATAGTTCACCTCACCCAAAAATGAAAATTCTGTCATCATTTCCTCACCCCTCTTCTTTCTTCTGCTGAACATAAAACAAGATATTTTGAAGAATGTGGGTAACCAAAAATTTGTCGGTCCCCACTGCGAATGGAAAAAAAATACAATAGAACTCAATGGGATCAGAAACTTTTTGGTTACCAACATTCTTTAAAATATCTTCATTGTGTTCAACAGAAGAAAGAAACGCATATAAGTTTGGATTGGAACAACTTCTGGATGAATATATGATTTTGGGTGGACTATCCCTATAAGCACATCCTTTCACTGACTATTTATTGAAAAGAAAAAAGTTTACATTTTAAAGAGTTTCAGGCACTATTTTGTAAGTAGTAGCAGTTGTTCCCATCAAAGTCATGCTTGAGTTTATGCATGAGTCGTCTCATAGAATTTGCATAGAATTTGAAATCAAGGATGTTCACATTGTGTTTAATCTGTCAGTCACACTTCTTGACCACTGAACATGTCCAATATCGGGACGGTCTCAGCATTGCAGCTTTGACGGTTCTTATTGAATCGTTGAGTGTTGTATTTGTCATGTGGAGGCTTTAAAACAAAACTGTGTCTGTAAGTGTGTATGTGGCCGTCTTTTCTTCTTCTCTCATGCTTAAGGGTGCATAGTAAGAGCATTGTTAACCGAGGACAATGGCTATTAGAAGGTGCCCGTTAGTGAGTAACAAATACTAGCGTTTCAGCTTTTCTTTCTCTTCCCCCTGTCACTATTGCCCTGTGGTTTCCATTCCCTCTGTTGTTATTCTATAGCGTAGTTTTTCAGTGCTATCTGTGCCTATAATCAATCTGAATGTGATACAATCACTCGCTACATCTCTTTCATCTGTATAAACAGTAAATCTCTCATATAGTCATTACCAGTGCATTTTATACACACTCAGAATCAGATGTGGATGGATCTGTGATCATCTCAGTAATCTAATCCTCTCTGTCCATCACCAATGATTTCAGTTGTTGGCCCCTGGACAGTGTGATGTCATGAGTGAATGGCTTTAGATAGACTCATACTCAGGTTTTTAAGTGTAGATGGGAGGTGAACGTGTGTTTGTTGGAGGTTGTGTGTATGTGTGTGTGTGTGCTGAACGTGAAGGGCTTGTGTTGTTTGTTGCAGAGGTCAGCAAAATAAGCAGTGGTTCAGTGTACATGCAGTCTGCTCGTGCAACCCTGGATGTGAAAGGAACAATGATGTTATCAGTATAAAAATCACTCACACTGTACAGTCATATGTGTGTGTGTGTGTGTGTGTGTGTGTGTGTGTGTGTTTTATTGAGTGTCTGTCAGGGATGATGACATCAGTTTGGGGAGGGCTTGTGATTGGATAGATTTCTCTGCTGATTGTGATGTTTGACTGACCTGTTTTTGAGCACTGTTTACATTAACATTCCTAATATGCAAACAATGTTTAAATATTCTCTGTTTAAAAAAAACTTCTTCTTTTTTAAAATACTGGCTGTACTTGTTTGTGTGTGTTTGTATGGTACACATTAAGATACTGAATGTTATAATGACATTTATAAAATACTTTTATGTAGGTTAAGATATTATAAAATGTCAGTGTTATTTTAGTATCATTTACATAACTTTTATAGCATGTATAGCTTTTCATGTTTAAGTTTTAGGAATTGTCATTTTTAGTTTTTTATATATATATATTTCTATTAGCATTATTTTTTATTTATGTTTTAGTTTGAGTAATTTTAGTACTTCAACTTATTTGTGACGAGCTGCGCAAAACCACGATCATATTTTGCGCATGTTTTGCGCAGCTTGTCAGTGAACAACGGCTCTGTGTAGTTAATGCTGCTCAATGTGAAAGCATGCACGTGATGGAGATTTACCTCTGATTACAGAATGGCTTTACTGACAAGATGCGCGTTAAATATCGCATGAGATTTATCGTGCAGCCCTATTTTATAGCATTTTGTAGCATTTATAGCTTTTATTTGTATATTTTTAGTTTTCATTTTAATTTCAGTTAGAATTTTACTAACTGTGTTAAATTGTGTTCAGCTATTGTGCTTTTGTCATTCAGTTTTAGTTTTAGTAATTAAACAACATTTCTAATTATCATTTAAAATTTTTAAGTCTTATATTTATTTTAATTTCAGCTTAATTTCAATTAATAAAAGACTAGGATTAAGTTGTAACAATAACAGCACTGTAACATGTTTTATACATAATTTAAAATATTAATTAAAAAAATGATATTTAAAATATAATAATAAAAAAATATATATTTTATAAGCAAACTACGTGGTATGCTGTCGTTCATATTGTGTATTTGAGCATGGCTGAAAAGCTGTACTGTTCAATCATCATCATCCATGATCTGTATAGGGCCCTATGAAATCTGTTTTATTTGTTCCCAAATTCCGTTTTTTTTTCCCATTTTAATTTTTCTGGATTCCGTTTTTTCCACTTACATTTTTCTAGACTAGACTGTTTTAATGGTTAAATTAAATTTTATTAATCAAAAGTATGTCTAATTAATTGAAATCATGAAACATATTTAACAGCAATTTATTAAAAGTTTAATCAAAATAAAATTTTTAACGCCCTATGAAAAGTTTTATTTTTTTCTCAAATTGAGTTTTATTTTTACATTCTGCTTTCCATTAATTTTCTGAGTTCCATTTTAATGGTTTTGTTTAATTCTAATCAACTCTTAATTGATTTTATACAAAATAATTTATTATTTTATTTCTTTTTCTTTTCAGAAATACTGTGTTGTGTATTTACATTATTCTGATAAATAAATTCTGGTAAATAATTTTTCTGGTAAATATTCCTTTATAAATAACGTTTTAATAGTAACTTTATTAGCAGTAGTACTAGCTATCATTACATTAAGTCTGTCACAGTTTCTTCAAGTTAAACCAAACTTTTATTTTGACTGGTTGCTGTGAAGACCTTTAAATTTTTGTTTGTAAATGATGTGACGATATTTCTTCTCAAAATAAATGGTCAAATGCTCATGAAGTGAGCAGATCATGATCATATATTGAGGCGGCAGAGGCTGAAATCAACGCGGGCGTCACGCACGCTTCAGTATGTGTGTAGTAAATGAAACCGTGCATCTGTGCCATTCATTCACACAGAGAACATGCAGGATTCATATCTAAATAGTATTTTTGCAGTTTAATATTCACAGACACTAGTCCATATCGCGTTTTGATTTAAGTGTAATGACCTACTTTTGATTCATCTATCCAAAATTTGGCAAATTCTGTGACATTCCGTGTTATACAGTAAATTCCGTTTTTATGACTGGATTCTGTGATTCCGTCCGCATTTTTCGCATAACGTAAATCATAGGGCCCTATCTGTTTAATAATCTAGTACTATTTGATTTTATAATAAAATGTATCCACCTGATTCCTGTTATGTGCATGGACTCAAACTGAATATGTTCATAGCAAGCTTTTTTTGGAGTCTGCAGTGATTCTTATTGAATGTGTGTGTGCTGCTGATCTGTGCATGTTGCATGAAGCCTGTTGTCTTGCCATGTGTTGCAGCGCCTGTCGTTGATGGCCCAGCTGTGTGTTGAGGTAGAATGGGACAGACCACATCGGGCCCAGAGTCCGCAGAACCTCCACAGGTGAGCAGCACCACCCTAATGCTTTACCTCACACTAGGGCTGTCAAAAAAAAAAAATTTGAATTTTGAATATTCGTCGAAAAAATTTGTGCAAAAACGTTGCATTCGAATTTAAGGTCTGCGTCAGCTGTCAGGCGGCCTTATCAGTGGCGCACGAGATGCGATGACGATGTATGTGTCATTGATTGCATTTGAATGCTTTTGTTAGCCTACCCAGTTGAACCAACTAGATGCGGTGCTGCTACATTGTTCATTCATATATTGCGGAAAACTCGCGTCTCGCAGAGAGCGGCATGTTTAGAAAGCCATGTAAAATTAATGCAAGTTCAACTTTTAAAAAACATGTCTAAAGACGTTATGGCGGTTTTCCCCCATCCCACTGTTTCTCATGTTTTTAAATGTAAATGTTTAAATGTTTTTAAAGTAGCCTACTATTTGTGATTGGTTTTCGGTCCTTTGTATTAAACTATACATACATGAATGGTGCTATTTTTTTTTCTAATTGTTTAAGCAACTTTATTAATTATATATGGTTTATAAACATTATTTTAAACATTATGCACTTATAGTCATGTTATTTTATTACGCTTTGAAGAAACGTGCATTGCAGCGCCTGTCGTTGATGGCCCAGCTGTGTGTTGAGGTAGAATGGGACAGACCACATCGGGCCCAGAGTCCGCAGAACCTCCACAGGTGAGCAGCACCACCCTAATGCTTTACCTCACACTAGGGCTGTCAAAAAAAAAAAATTTGAATTTTGAATATTCGTCGAAAAAATTTGTGCAAAAACGTTGCATTCGAATTTAAGGTCTGCGTCAGCTGTCAGGCGGCCTTATCAGTGGCGCACGAGATGCGATGACGATGTATGTGTCATTGATTGCATTTGAATGCTTTTGTTAGCCTACCCAGTTGAACCAACTAGATGCGGTGCTGCTACATTGTTCATTCATATATTGCGGAAAACTCGCGTCTCGCAGAGAGCGGCATGTTTAGAAAGCCATGTAAAATTAATGCAAGTTCAACTTTTAAAAAACATGTCTAAAGACGTTATGGCGGTTTTCCCCCATCCCACTGTTTCTCATGTTTTTAAATGTAAATGTTTAAATGTTTTTAAAGTAGCCTACTATTTGTGATTGGTTTTCGGTCCTTTGTATTAAACTATACATACATGAATGGTGCTATTTTTTTTTCTAATTGTTTAAGCAACTTTATTAATTATATATGGTTTATAAACATTATTTTAAACATTATGCACTTATAGTCATGTTATTTTATTACGCTTTGAAGAAACGTGCATAATATTTTGCTCGATGCGCCCTCTTGTGGCCTCAGGAGAGCAGCCAAAAGCTTTTTTCCCTCTAACTGAAATTATGCTTTTTAAATTTGAATATAATTCGAATTTTGATTATATTTAAGTAGAAAATTCTAATTGAGTTTTTCAGTCATTTTGACAGCCCTACCTCACACACATTCACAAACCTGAACGCTTTCAGTCTGAGCGTTCACATGTTTCAACGTGAGTGCAATTTTGACTCCAAATTACACTGTGGCCCAATTTACATTTGAAAACCCTTGGTTAATGTTCTCATTTACATATTCTCACAATTAGTACAGCACACAACAAACGAGCTGCCTGTTTTGATAACAGTTTGTCGACCTGTGGAAAAGTCTGCAGTAAATCCATTTCGAAATCTACCAAGTGCATGAATATTTATTGAGGCATTTATGAAAGGTTGTGTGTTGTTAAACTTTTTACAACTATAAAATATTTCTCAGTCCTCAGTTAAAAAGACCCACAGAGAAATATAATGGGAAAATCCCTTACGTTTTGACTAAGACTCTTTGCTGAATCTCTTTATTCATAAGCAGCTGCACTGCTTTCCCATCATGCACTTTGCACCTCATTTACATTCCTCCAGAAACCCCGCCCCTGCTTCCACCAATCTGTTCATTCGTCAATATCAGCAGTTGTTCACATTTGTTTTACAATCTTCTTTTAAATCTTTCAAAGAGATTCTTTTTCTTCTTCTCTTTCAAATCTTCTTTGTGTAAGTCATTGACAGCTGTGTTTTGTAGCTGGGCAGATTGTCTGCAGCTAATGTGATCATGTGACTCGTTTAAGAAGGTTTGTTGGTGTGATCTGTAATGCTGAACAGAACAGCTTTTTGCTCTGTCATGATGGGCAAAGCGAGAGTTTAGTTAGAAGATGCAACTAGATGCCTTGGAGTAATCATGCAGAATTGCACAAATTCATATCTCGGTCCAAAGATTACAAATCACAAGGACGTATTTGCTTATGACACATCTGAATGTTGGACTGTCCATGCATTTTTCAGTCCATAAACAGTTTATATTAAGGTTTGATAAAAGTGCACTAAAATGTTTGGATAAAAGTTTGTGAAATTAACAGTATTTTTTGGAAAATATGATTCAAATAATGTATATCCACTTGAGGTGAAAAGTGCATTAATAAGACATATGGTGGGTTTCTGCCATGTTGTGATCACACTAATTTATCTTTGTAACTCCAAATATGTAGTGCACCTTTAAGACAATGGGCAGATACTCCTGTAATACAAATGTAAGTGACATTTGAGAGAGATTCTAAATGCACTCTGAATTCATAAAAATTATAAAGTCAGAGGATGTGTTAACATCTTACACACTTGTGTGGTTTCCACCAGAGACACTGACGATATACCACCACTTCTGTTTTCAAGTACTTCCTTATTTTCAAGAATGTCGCACGTATATACAATACATGCAATGCATACTTGGCGAATAAAGCTCATTCTGAAGTTAATTTCTATCATTCTCTGCAAAAATAAATCAATAAAAAATGTAATAAAAATCTTAATCATTACTGCAAAAAAATTACTGCTCAGTATTTTTGATTATTTACAGTACAATTAACTAAACATTCTTAAATCAAGGTTTACCTGAGAAGCAAAAATATTTAAGGTATTATTAAATCTAAATATCAAAATTAAGTGAGTTAAACAAGACTTTGTATCTTATGTCATTTTCAAATTCATTGTCATTTCATGTTGTTTTAAAGATGTTGAGATATTTGACTAAAAATGGGACAAAAATGCTTTTAGAAAAAAAATATGCTGTGTGTTTTTGTCTTGTTCTGCAATAAAAGTCTTAATACCCTTTAACGACAATTTACTGGAGTAGCACAGCTGCGTAAGATATTAAGATATGGTTTTCAGAGAATATATAATAAATTTAACTTCAAATATGCTTTACAACAACAACAAAAAATGAAGTCAGGATGAATTGGTTTAAAAGGATAGTTCACCCAAAAATAAAAATTCTGTCATCTTTTACTCACCCTCAAGTTGTTCCAAACCAAGATATTTTTACAGGAAAACAAGGCAACCCTCTTAAGAAAATCATTTTTCCAGTGCATTTATCATGTCTGTGTAAGATTCATTATTATTTCATTTATAACTGACTCTCCATTTAGCATACTATACTGTAGAAACAGTGCTGCTGTTCACTTTCGAAACACTATGGGCCTTCTTAACAATGCTTTATTGAAAATGCATGAGCTGAGAAAGAGAGGAATGAGTGAGTTGGAGAGTGACAGAGTGGGAATGGTTGAAGGAATGAAGGCACAATGGAGAGGAAAGGTTTACATAATTATGGGACAGAATTGTGATCTAGTAACAAATGCATTTACCTTTTGCAAGCTTCTCTTCCAGTCCTTCACTTATTCATTATCTCTCAGTTCATGAGCCTGATCTATAGCTAGTCTTCCCCCCCCTCATGTTCTAATTTTTAACCCCAGGGTTATGTTCTCATATAAAAGCTGGCTATATTAACATCCTGTGTGTTTTGTAGCTGGACAGATTTGGAAACATCAAGAGTTTAGTGGAGGATCAGCTGCAGACCAGCATGGTCAGTAAACACTCATTTAACACTGTTACACTGAATCATAGCCTTTGCAGAATTGTGCAGATATTTCATTTTTAATTATGAGTTACAAATAAATACTGACATGTCACATTTAGACATTTGTATACAACAATATTGTGAAAAATATTACTAAAATTTAAAATAAAGGTCTTCTATTTTAATGTATTGTTAAATGTAATTTATTGCTGCGATCAAAGCTGAATTTTCAGCATCATTACCCCAGTCTTCAGTGTCACATGATCCTTGAGGAATCATTCTAATATGCTGATTAAAAGATTTCATATTATCAAAGTTGAAAACGGTTGTGCTGCTTAATATTTTTGTGGAAACTGTGATACATTTTTTCAGGATTCACTGAAAAAGTTCAAAAGAACAGTATTTACTTAAAATAGAAATCTTTTGTAACATTATTAATGTCCTTAATGTCACTAGTTTTGACAGTATTAAATACGTTTTTAATAATTTTACAACATTTGAAATAAATGCTGCCATTAATTCAAATTTAAATCTGGTTTGAATGTTGCCCAACCTTGGTTTCATGACACATGTATACAAACTGATACAAATTTTTCCTGATTTCTCACTGTCTTGTTTCTGTCCAGGTGGTGGGAATAATAATTGGCGCTGGAGTCGTCATCATCCTCATCGCTGTCCTCATATTTTTTGTCATGCGCAGGATGCAGCTCCGCAGTTAGTTCTCAAAAACTCCTATGTCAAATGAATGTTTCTTATATTTCTACTTTCTTTGCTTTGTGAAATGATCAAGTAATCTAAATGTATAATAATAAAGTGCTGATAGTATTCACTGTGTTCTCCATATACATTTAGAGAACATATAGACGTATTGTGTTCCCTTTAATTTATTCTTTGAATTTTCTTGAATTAGTCTTAAAAGGTCTTAAATTTACCTTCATAAAACTTGCAGAAATTCATTTATATATATTTGCTTGTTTTCTTCTCTCAGAACTTGAGGCTCAGGAAGCCCCGAAGTATCGTTTTCGTAAAAGAGACAAAGTCTTGTTTTATGGGAGGAAGATTATGAGGAAGGTGTCTCAGTCCACCTCTTCGTTAGTGGGCTCCACTTCTTCCTCCAGGCCTCGCCTCAAAAAGAAACAGAAGATGCTGAACATTGCCAAAAAGTATGTTTCTGTAATGCCATTATTGGGTCATATTCATTGGCTCAGATGATCGGGTATAATAGCATGTGTGTTTCTCAGGATCCTGCGTTTTAAGAAGGAAGTGCCCACTCTGCAGATGAAGGAACCTCCTCCGTCAGTGCTGGAGGCAGATCTCACAGAGTTTGACGTGGCCAATTCTCACCTGCCATCTGAGGTGCTCTACATGCTGAAGAACGTGCGGTACGCTCCCATTGTTTCTGAATTGAGCATCAAGAGAGTGACGTTAAAGAGAGCTTGACCACTCCTATGCGTTATGGAATGTAAAATATGATATATATAATGTATGTTTTTGGTCTGGCGTGTCTCCTGCAGTGTGTTGGGTCACTTCGAGAAGCCGTTGTTTCTGGAGCTGTGTAAGCACATGGTGTTTCTGCAGTTCCAGCAGGGCGAATATGTCTTCAGACCCGGTCAGCCTGATAGCAGTATATATGTGGTACAGGATGGCAAGCTGGAGTTGTGTCTTACTGGACAGGTGTGTGAATCACTCATCCAATTTTATTTTAGTATCATCGAGGTACTATTATAGATTTTATTAATATTTTGAATTAGTTTTTATATTTTCTGTTTTTATTTTAAAGGGTTATTAGTTCACCCAAAAATAAAAATTCTGTCATTAATTACTCACCCTCATGTCGTTCCAAACCCGTAAGACCACCGTTCGTCTTCGGAACACAAATTAAGATATTTTTGATGCATTCCGAGAGTTCTCTGACCCTCCCATAGAAAGCAAGGGTCCTTACACGATCAACGCACAGAAACGTAGCAAGGAAATCGCTAAAATAATCCATGTGACATCAGTGGTTCAACCGTAATTTTACGAAGCTACGAGAATACTTTTTGTGCGCAAAGAAAACAAAAATAACAACTTTATTCAACAATTCGTCTCCTTCGCGTCGCCCTGGCGCCATTTTGGAGAGTATCACATACGTAAACAACATATGTACGCGGATACGTTGCGTACGTTCAGATCAAAGCGTAAACAACGTAAAAACAGCGTATCTGTGTACGGTGCTGCTGACACAGAACAGCATACGTTATGTGTCACGTTACGTTATGAATATATATGCGTTATATATTTACGTATGTGATACTCTCCAAAATGGCACTATAGGGTGAAGCGGGGAGACGAATTGTTGAATAAAGTAGTTATTTTTGTTTTCTTTGCGCACAAAAAGTATTCTCGTAGCTTCGTAATGTTACGGTTGAACCCCTGATGTCACATGGATTATTTTAACGATCCTTGCATCGTTTCTGAGTCTTGATCATGTAAGGATCCTTGGTGTCTATGGGAGGGTCAGAGAGCTCTCAGATTTCATCAAAAATATCTTAATTTGTGTTCTGAAGATGAACAAAGGTCTTACAGGTTTGGAACGACATGAGGGTGAGTAATTAATGACAGAATTTTCATTTTTGGGTGAGCTATCCCTTTAATTTTAGTTAAAGTTTTAGTAATAAACGAAAATGAGAAATGCTTCTTTGGCAACTGCCACCTTTTTCTATTTATTTTATTTGAAGCAACATTATTTTTTAATGGTTTTAGTTTTATTTAACTAATAACCCTGGACTCGCCTCTCCCTTAAGGATGGAAAGGATGGAGTGGTCAAAGAGGTTTACCCTGGAGACAGCGTTCACAGTCTGCTAAGCATCCTTGATGTCATCACAGTGAGTCACACCCACACCCATTCTCTGTGTACTCATGCTGTTTAACAGCACAGGAAACCCAATTACTTTAGAAAGTGTTATACAACCTTTATTTTGCTCTCTTTCCTGTTCCTGTTTCTTTCACTTTTTCTTCCCTTTTCTTAGAAATTGCCCCATAAGAAGGTCAAGTAGCAATTTTTGTGAAAATGCTCACAGGAAATGACATATTCTGGATATTATGCATAATTCACAGGTTTGAACGTTTGTGTATTTCAGGGTCACCAGAGACCTTATAAAACTGTCTCAGCGAGAGCGGCAGAAGTGTCCACTGTCCTCAGACTGCCTGTCGATGCCTTTCTGTCCATCTTTGAGAAATACCCAGAGAGCCTTGTGCGGGTGGTTCAGGTCTGGAATTGTAAAATTGCTCCGAAATTTCCATTGTTGTCTGTGAGGACACTGCTCATAATTGAGAATATGTTTCCCGTTGTGTCCTCTCTGCAGATCATCATGGTCCGTCTTCAGAGAGTGACTGTTCTGGCCCTGCACAACTATCTGGGGCTCACCAATGAGCTCTTCAGCCATGTGAGTGAACACACATCCACACTCAATGCACACTCGCTTTCTTTCTTATGATTGGTTGCTAGCACACAAAAACTATAGTAGTTTTTATTTTATACTATCCAAAATATGTACTATTTCCTTTCTGTCAATCTTCTCTTAGGACATGCAGGCTCGTCCCTCTCCTACCTCTCCTCATGCAACACGCTCCAGTCCTGTACGACACAGCAAACGCTTTGGCAGTCTCACTGTTCCTGATAAACATCGTGAGGCCGCTGTTCAAAATGCTTCTGGTGAGGCATAATATCATTATATCTGTTTGTTAGGCCTTTAGATTTTTGTTTAACAGTGAGTGTCTGCAGGTGGGGATCATGGGAAGGATGGTGGCACAACACCGACCCTCAGTAGGACCATATCCATGCCTGTAGACATCGCAGGTAGGTGCATATAATACCGTTCAAATGTTTGGGGTCAGTAAGATTTTTGTTTTTTGAAGAAATTAATCATTTTATTCAGCAAGGATGCATTCAATTTATCAAAAGCAATTTTTAGCAATTTATTCTTTTTAAATATTTAGTCATCAAAGAATCCTGAAAAAATGTATCCATTTTCACAAAAAGCTGCATTACTGCTTTCAACATCGATGATAATAATAAAAAAAAGCGTTTCTTGAGCAGCAAATCAGCATATCAGAAGGATTTCAGAAGGATCATGTGACACTGAAGATTGCTTCAAGCCTGCTGAAAAATCAACTTTGAGATCACAAGAAAAACTAATATATTAGAATAGAAAACAGCTATTTTAAATTATAATAATATCTCACAATATTACTGTTGTTACTGTTTTTTTTAAATCAAATAAATGCAGCCTTGGTGAGCATAAGAGACTGCTTTTACAAACCTAAAGAAATCAAACAGAACCCAAATTTTAGAACAGTAGTAGTGTATATTATAATATTATTAGAATGTGTGCAATATAATATACATAATATTATAGAATTTATACAGTTACAATGTGTATATATAAAACATAATTTATACAATATAAAAATGTATGATGTATCATGCTTATGTTGGTGTCATGCTGTGATGTTATTGCTGAACTTTATGTATGTCGTACAGGAATTCAGAAGAGTCTGCGTTCAGATTTCGACATGGCTTATGAGAGAGGCCGGATCTCTGTATCTGCTGAGGATGGAGAGGAAAATCTGCTGAGGAAAGCTCCACCTGCTTTCACACGAGTGGGTTTTTTTACACTCATTTTAACACATTTCACATACTAACATAATTTGTATTACAGTAATTAGAGTCTAATGAGAACAATCATTAATAGTAAGACTTCTATTTTAAAAAAAAACAAAAGACCTTTGCATTTACACTGAAATATGACCCCCACAAAAAGTACTGAACCACTCAGCCTTTAAGTCTAAAGATATCATGCTTGTTTTCTGTGACACAGGAGCAGCGGGAGAGGAAGGTGACAGTGGATGAGGTTCCTTCAAGTGTGTATTTGTATCCTGAGGAGGAGTCAGGAATGGAGAACATTTTTTGTCTATTTCAAGGACGACCTAATGCTACACTGTTCGAGGAGGCCCAGAAAGAGATTCTCAAACTCATGAAGATTGAGGTATGTTTTTGTATTTGTGTGGTACAGTTTATTGTCAAAGTTCATAGTCCGGTAAAATGAAGCAGTTTCACATTCACTGTAGTTCTCTGATTTCTGACGGTCACACCTGTCTCTCTTTTGCTGACTGGGGTGATGCCCTTTCCTCATATGCCCTCTTTCATCATCAGGACCCTGCGCTGCTGAATGGGAGGGTGACGTTTCATCATGCTAAAGCTGGATCTGTGTTAGCCAAACAGGGAGACCAGGTGCTCATTCTCATTTCTTTTCTTCTTCCCAATTGATTTGGCAAACCTTAGATCTCTTATACTGATGAAACCTTTTGTAATCTTTGTAATACCGTTTCTTCCTCTTCTTTTCTATAGGATGTGAGTCTGCATTTTGTCCTGTCTGGTTGTCTTCATGTCTATCAGAAGATGATTGACAAGCAGGAAGCTGTGTGTTTGTTTGTGACCCAGCCGGGTGAGATGGTTGGACAACTGGCTGTACTCACAGGAGAGCCACTCATCTTCACCATCAAAGCTGAGCGTGATTGTACCTACCTCAAGATCTCCAAATCTAACTTCTATGAGTGAGTGTTTCTATATAGTCATGCAGCTGATTTCTCACAGACTCTCAAACTTTCAGTCTTTTGGATTTCACTCTACCTATTGCAAATCTCACAAAGAACAAATCTCCATCAGTAGATAGCAGAGTCATATTGTCTGTGATTGTGCTGCCCCCTGTAGGATCATGCGTGAGCAGCCAAGTGTAGTTCTCAGTGCAGCTCACACCGTGGCTATCCGCATGTCCCCGTTTGTACGGCAGATGGATTTTGCCATTGACTGGATGGCTGTTGAAGCCGGGCGGGCCCTGTACAGGTACCATAACTCTCTCACACAAATTTGTATTTATTTTTTTAAGTTCATTGTAACATTTTCTTTAGCTGAAAACATTCACAGGTACTTCAAATATAACTTAATAAATGACAAATGTTGTTTGGACAATTAATTTAGATAATAAATCTTAAGAAATATAATTTTATGTATACATTTAGTATATTTTATTTTTCTACACTAGCGTTCAAATGTTTGGTTTTGCAGTAAAATTTAAAAATATATATTTTCTAAAAGAAATCTCTTATGCTCATCAAAGGCTGCATTTATATAATAAAAATACTGCAATATAGTAAAATTATTACAATTAAAAATTTTAAAACAACTGTTTTCTGTTGAAATACAGTATATAAAAAATGTAATTTATTCCTGATTGCAAAGCTGAATTTTCAGCACCATTACTCCAGTCTTCAGTGCCACATGATCTTTCAGAAATCATTCTCATATGCTGATTGGCTTAGTGTTGAAAACAATATTTCAATATTTCTCTGGAAACTATGACTTTTTTTTTTGTCAGGATTCTTTGATGAATAGAACAGCAATTATTTGAAATCTAAATCTTTCTGTAACAATGTAAAAATCTTTACTGTCATCAATTAAATGCGTCCCTTTTGAATAAATGTATTAATTTCTTTCAAAAAAATATTGTGACACCAAACAGTAGTGTACATGTTCAGTCAATATGCAAGACATTAATATCATTAAATTTGTTGCGGTCCATAGGCAAGATGATCAGTCCGACTGTACCTATATTGTGCTGAATGGGCGACTGCGTTCTGTCATCCGAAAAGCGAATGGGAAGAAGGAGCTTGTTGGAGAGTATGGCAGAGGAGATCTCATTGGAGTTGTGAGTCTAAAGCTCTGCAATGAAGGCTAAAGGGTCTAAACTAATCTAAACTGAATTTAGGATCGCTGAACTGTCTCTCTTTCTCTCAGGTGGAGGCTTTGACTCGGCAGCCTCGTGCCACCACAGTCCATGCAGTCAGAGACACTGAGCTGGTGAAGCTTCCAGAAGGAACGCTCAACAACATTAAGAGAAGATACCCGCAGGTGGTGACACGCTTGATCCATCTGCTGGGGCAGAAGATTCTGGGGAACCTCCAACAGCCCCGTGGACCTTTCTCAAGTACGTCCAAAAACCAAACATTAATCATTCACATCGCATTCAATGCTTCAGTAAAGTCCCGCTTGAGAAGAAACATCATCTTAGGAACAAAGAATAGGAAGCGGAGCCTTTTCTATGTGTTTAAACAAAGAAAGAGTAAAGAAATGAATCCTTTTCTCTAGGCTCTGCTCTGGGACTGCCAAGCGTGGCGTCGAGTCCGGACGTCACTAACCCAGCTAGTAATCTCTCCACTGTGGCCGTGCTTCCTGTTTGTGATGAGGTGCCAATCAGTGCCTTCAATTTGGAGCTCAGCCATGCCCTCAGTGCCATAGGTAAACTTAAGCAGTGATTGACAATTAAAGCACATGATCTAGACCCATAATCTAACACACTTTCATCCTTCAATCAGGACCAACCCTGCTGCTAACCAGTGACATCATCAGAGAGAGACTTGGAGCTTCTGCTTTGGACAGGTAGGCCTATATATGAGATCAGAACATCGCATTCATTTTTAAAACTGCAATCTGAAACGCTCGTTTTTCTCTAGTATTCATGAGTACAGGTTATCAGGTTGGTTGGCTCAGCAGGAGGACATTAATCGTATAGTGCTGTATCAGACGGACAGCGGTATGACCCCATGGACTCAACGCTGTATCCGACAAGCTGACTGTATCCTCATTCTGGGGCTTGGAGACCAGGAACCTGCACTTGGAGAGGTATTTGTTTCAGTCTAGTGTTGTTTATGTCCACTCTCATGTGAAATGTGTGAGGTGGATTGAAGTTATTGAAGCTCAGAGCTGGTATCCAAAATGTTGAAAGCTGAAACCCCACAGGGAAAGATAAATTTTTTTTTTACTTTTCACCTTAAGCAAGGCACAACTTTTGGTTAACAATTACAAATCATGTCAGTGCATATGAATTGATTTTGTATCGTGGATCACTTTTGAAGAATTGATTTAAAATGCTGAAAATTGAATGACTCACAGAAAAACTCATGGAAATGAATAAAATCTTTTAAGCATAAATTCTTTTCAGCACATTGTACACTTTGTTATATTCCAAGTAGCCTGTATGTACATGTATTTAAAGTAGGGTGGCCATATGTGCCATTTATACAGGACATGTCCTGGCCAGGATTTTTATACTGCCTAAAACATCCAAAGTAGTTTGACCAATAATATGCAGGTATTGTATATAATCGACCAATCGTGGTGCGTGAGAAGGTGAGATCTACAGAGAACGATCAAAGCGATGCAAATATGCACGCATGTTTGTTTGTTCGTTCGACTTGAAGCGTCGCTGCGCACCGATCATTGAATGAGTACCGCGAGACAGCATAAGTAGCCATCTGCTCTGCTCTCTATAGCTCTCGTGAATGTCATACAACGATCGGTTTCCCAAAAACAACTATGGCCGCAAGTTCTGTCGTTACCAATAGAGTTCATTGGAACTAACGACCATAGTTAGCTAATGATGCTAGCGGGCGCTGAACAACAGAACTTCGCTGTTTCAGCGATGACTCATCTGAACGCCTCTGATTGGCCATTGCTTTCATAAGCTCAGCATAATCGTGTGGGATTGGTTATAACACGCAACACTGTAAAAACGCGGAAAAAGAAATAATGCAACAAATAAACCCTAATATTAATTTGATAGTATTACTAGCTTAATAATAATAATAATAATTATAATAATTGTCTTCCTATCGTCAAAGGCATCAGCCACAACCCTAAATCAGATCGAATCAAATTGTTCTGAATTTGCAAAAATCATTCCTGAAATTAAGAACTTCTCAATCTTCAATCAATTCACTGTCTATACAAAGATACCCCTAACGGTTCAAATAACTTCAGATGGAGCTGATCCAATCAGAATTCTGATTCAAATGCCATGAACCCATGTTCTTACCCTCTCAGTTGGAGCAGATGCTGGAGAACACAGCGGTACGGGCCCTGAAGCAGCTGGTTCTGCTGCATCGTGAGGACGGGCCGGGTCCGTCGAGAACCGTTGAATGGCTGAACATGCGAAGCTGGTGCTCTGGACACCTTCACCTAAAGTGCCCTCGTAGAGTTTTCTCACGAAGAAGTCCCTCCAAACTGGTAACATGTAGCTTTCTGTTGATTTAAAGAACAAAGATTGTTAATAACCCTTGTGTTTGATAAGGATGTGGTTGTTGCCTTAAACAGCGAGAGGTATATGAAAAGGTTTTCGAGAAGACTGCAGACAGACACAGTGATTTCTCACGGCTGGCAAGAGTACTCACAGGAAACAGCATAGCCCTTGTGCTGGGTGGAGGCGGAGCTAGGTCAGTGACTTCAAGCAGTCGTAATACCAGAGATGGTTTTATTATTGGGAGATAATATAATCCGCAGCTCTACCTTAGTCTCCTTCCCTGCAGGATTGCGGATAACAAATTTAATGGTTTTTGCTAACCTTGGAGGCTTGCCGGATCCAAAGCCTTGGAAAGTGTCTTTTGTTAAACTACAGTTTAAAATCACACCTTTAAAACTGGCTAAAGGGAATTTTTTTTCAATTCACTAATTTTCAGATGTGTCTGTCGTATTTTAGTCTTATTTATATACTGTTTTTTTTTATTTGCTTTTATTTTTAGCAATTTTTTTGTGTTTTAGTGTGCTTTTGTCATTTAAAAAAAAATATTATTATATATTACTATTGTTTGTTTTTAATGTTACTCTTTAGATTTAAAGTATTTTTAGTTTTAGTTCAGATTTAGTTTTTATTTATCCAGTTAGTAATTTTAGTGTTTTTTTTAAAACTTACTTCAGTAAGTTGCTAAGGCAACATTTCAAAGTTTTGTGTAGTTTTGTTTTGTTTTATTTTATTTTGTTTTTGATTTTAAAAGTTCTAGTTAAAAATAATAACCCTGGTCTTTGTAAGTGGTCAATATGATGTTCAATCTTGCAGGGGCTGCTCTCATGTTGGTGTAATCAAAGCCATGGAGGAAGCAGGAATTCCCATCGACATAGTGGGAGGAACTTCCATTGGCTCATTCATTGGTGCTCTGTATGCAGAGGAGAGAAGTGCTGTTAGGGTCAAGCAGAGGGCGAGAGAGTGGTCCAAGGTAATGTGACACTATCCGTTAACTGACACCCTTTACCTTGCTTTGAGCAATCAGATAAGATAGATGTTTAGTTATTAATCACTGAAATTTAATTTCATATCTCTTTTACCTTCAGGCAATGAACTCCGTATTCAAAACGGTACTGGATCTTACTTATCCAATCACATCCATGTTTTCTGGCTCTGCCTTCAACACCAGCATCTCCAAAGTCTTTGAGGACAAACAAATCGAGGTAAGTCACCAAAACTCTTTTGGAGGTGCACTTGTTTCAGAAATCTAACCTAGTGCTCCTAAAATATGCATTTTATCAGTTTTAATTGATCTATATTACTACTTTATTTAACTTTTTTCATCTTCATAATAGCTAATGTAATTAGGAAGGGTGATTATCATATGTATGACAACATATCGTGTTTTTTGTTTTTTTGTAGGACTTGTGGCTGCCTTACTTTAACGTGACCACAGACATCACAGCTTCTGCTATGCGTGTTCATAAAGATGGTGAGTGATGATTGAACTTTGTCCTCTTAATGTGGGGTTCCTCAAGGTTCCATGTTAGGGGCATTTGACCTCTGGAATATACATATTTTAGGAATTATTAATAATTTAATAATTAAATAATTTTGGTAAATGTCATTGTCAATAACTGATATAAAAATAACAAACAAAAAAAGTTTACAGCAGTAATCGTTTGAATGCTATTAAAAATGAACCTTGGTTGTTAAATGATAGATATTTGGGATGTTCAAGTTGTTTGGGGTTTGGTTATGTACATTTTCAACTTGTAATGATCGGGAAAGAGAAGCTAATGTTGCATGTGGGTTGTGCAATTATTCTGAGAGAGATCTAGAAAATGCCCATTTCATTAATGCCTGTTAACTCGCATGAAATCGAGATGTTACTGAAGTGATTAATTTCCTTAACTCTGTTTGTCAAATGCATGAATACATTTTGGGATTGACCAGTGGCATATCATGCATCTCTGAATTCTGGGTTCGGTCCCCAAATTCAGTTGAACGTATATCTGTTTCCTGATTAAAATAAGTTCATTCACACTGGCTAAATCAATTCATGATCATGGTAAAAACACTGACTACAGTTTAATGCTGAAAAATGCTGGATTTGGGGGCCTTGTAATGGTCATGTGTTCACCTGTGTTTGCCCAAATGGATTATGGAATTGAATTTGCATGTCTCACTAACTGCAAGGACAAAGCTTGTCTCTGTTTTCTTTACCACTATGTTTCTCTCCCCTTTTTGTCAAAGTTTCCGTCTTCCTTCTGTCCTACCCTCTGTCCTAACCTGCTTTTGTGTCATAGAAAAGGCTAAGTTCTCATTCAATGTCATCCTTTTCACACATCTTTATCTCACTATTTTCTTTCTATTATATTCTAAATGCCCATCATGTCAAGTATACACTATTAGTTGTGGTAGAAGGTAAAACCCCCTTTTCACCCCTTTTAGTGGTGTCTGTAGGATCCAGAATGCATCAACCATTTGCTTCCCCCTGCCCTCTTAATGCCTTTTCCTCTTCATTTTGCTGTTGCAGCATTGCTTATTCTCACACTGATTGCACAAATAAGACATAACAGGTCCAAAGACTTTACTGCAACTTACAGTATGCCTTCACTCAGCTGTGGATGTTGGTCAGGTTGTGCTATATGTTATAATGCCTTCTTACATTCAAACAGTTTCACAATGCGAGAGTGACAAGTTCAAAGTAATTTCACTGATTTTCATTCAATAGTGGTTAAATGTGGGTAGGGCAATATGGCCCGTATGTTGCCATATTGAGATTATTAGCAGGCTGACGTCTCATTACTGAATAAGAGTCGTTTGTGAACTACAAGACCTATTGCTTTGTCAATGGATAGTGCACATATTCTGGGTTTTTTTTCCCCCAGCAACATTAAATGCATCTCATTTGCTAGTTTGTGGTCAGTAAGATTTTTATGTTCACAAGGCAGCATTCATTTGCCAAAAACAGTAGTATTATAAAATATTATTACAATTTAATAATATACCTATTTTATTATATATACATCTATTTTAATATATACATTTTAATAAAAAAAAATTCTGTGCCGATTTGGTACTTAAGAAACATTTCTTCTTCTTTTTTTTTTTGTTAAAATTCTTTGAACAAACTAAGTTTGAAAGCGTTTTAAAAAAAAAAAAGTCCTTACTGTCATGTGACCTTGTTGGTTATTATTTTGAATAATATTTCAATCATATTATTTTATTTTAAATCTTTAAAAAATCTTAAAACTTATTGAAATTTCATAGTAAAATACATATTTTTTCCCCCCACAAGAAGCACAAATCACACTGTTGTAGTTTTGTCAGAGAAGATGCTGTGGTCAACATGCTCTTGTCATTATTGTGTGCTATAACACTTAACAGCCTGCAGATCTCACTTTGGCCCTTCCACCTCTCCTGCCTCCTTTCCTAATCTGTTTATTTGCCCATTTTGGCATGGCATAGTCATCTCTAATAAATGCAGTTTAGATTCATATATTCAGCATTCATTCCCTCTTTGGCCAGGTAAACACGCTGTTGATGGTATTTGACATTTAGAAATGAGAGAAACTACAATCAAGTTTTGTTTTTCTTGTTTACATTGAATGGAATAATGTCGTCTGATTAGCATAGCCAGATCTCAGCATGATGTCAATGAAACTGCGGAGAACTACAGTTTTGGGTCCCCGTCTCATTTTCACTCATCTGTTTCCTGTTGTTTACTGTCCCTCCCTCCTCTGTCTCTCTCCACGTCTTGTCCAGTTTTGATTTACTCTCCATCTTCATTTTGCCAGGCTGTGTTTGGCGCTATGTTAGAGCCAGTGCCTCCTATACCCCTTATCTGCCTCCTCTCTGCGACCCCAAGGACGGCCACCTCCTCGTGGATGGTTGCTATGTTAACAATGTCCCAGGTCAGGATTCTGCCCCGTTTTCACCAAAGCCTTCTAGAAGCCTAAAGGACTCTAGAAGCTACACCAGTATCCCTGCGACAACCAACCACTCAGTTACCCTTTGCTTTTTATTGTCTCTTGTCCTGTTTAAAACTAATTAACCCCCTGCTTACATTGGGAACCCATGGCTTGGAAGGAACCCAGGATAATATTCAATGAGAGAAAGAATAGAGGAGAGAGACTGTGCTGTTATAACCAAGATAAACATTACTTTTAGCTGAATCTGATTAAAAAAAAAACATGTCCAGATTTCATTTCATCCCAAAATAATAAAAAAAAGAAATTAGATTTTGCATAAATAAAATAAAGCCTAGATGGGTTTTTTTCGTAGTGTGGTTATTTTTTATGGCAATTAAGCACAATTATTCCCCATATTCTCATTACCGTAATCCAGATGTATATAATGTTTTATGCTTAATAATTGTTTTTCATGCTTAATTGCCATGAGTGAGAACATTTTCTTATTGCATTTTCTTTTAGCAAAATATAATTTCTTTTTTAGGGTGAAATATGACTCAAGTCATTTACCCTCAGGACCACTAGGGGCACAATTTACATTCAGTTTTTCTATTCACACCCATTCTTCCCTGTTTGGCTTTTTTGTAAAGGACACTTTATGCACACTTAGAGTCCAGTCCATTGATTTCAAATCACCTGATGCTCAGATTCCCTTTCCTTGTGCATTAGTATAGAATTTAGCCAATGTATGGTTACAAATATGTTCATATACATTACATTATGTGCATTATACGGCAGTATATGTAATGGTTATGGCAGTAACTTTTAGCTTTGTAACATGATGTTTCATTTAGCATTTTAATTTTGATTAATCAACAGTAAGCTTCCGGAAAATAAGGCATTGATATGTTTAGAATGATTTTTGCTGTTGTCATTTACTGAGATGTTTTTTAATAAGGCCTCTGTGTCAGTGTGGTTGATGAATATTGTTTAGCAGCCTAGTGTCAGTTGCTATAGCAAACCACTGCATATGTTGATTTGCATGAAGCAACGACCAACACTGATGCTGTGATGTGACTTTCGGTATCGATAAAGTCAATGATGGCTGCTGATGCTTGTCCATATTTACGTATTTGTTTTGCTGTTCAGGCTGATGTATTTTTCACATGCTCTTCTATCATGTTCACATCACATGCACTCTTCCCATCTACCTTGAGCTTGGCTGTCACAAGCACGCCATACACTCTGTGTGCATGCTGTTGCATGTTTATCTATCGTAGGCCATTATTCTACATGTATGCAATATTTATAAGGATAAGGGTCACTGGGAGGTGTTGTTCTGGATCCTACAGCACGGTCAGCAACATAGGATAACTCATTAAGAATGTCACAAACTTTTAAACAGGCTCACAGACAGATCTCTTTATGGCACCGTTTTTGCTTTAAATCAGTAACTCACCCCAAAATTAAAAATCTGTTATTATCCGTCTTTAATAAACACAAGGCTAAGTAAACGGAGTGCTGCAGTGGTGACATTTTTTGTAGGCCAACCCATAAGTTAGCATCACTCCTGGATCAGTCAACAACAACAAAAACAGGATTTTATAATTCGTACATTTTGTTCATCACAATAATCATCGCAAATGAACACAGTGTATAATTTCTGAAGCCTAAATACAATCGCCAGAAGTATAAATGAACTACGCCACAGTCGCATAACTTCAAAGTTACCATCATTAAGCTTGCTAATAAATAATAATTTGAGTTAGAATATTTTTCAAGACCATGATTATAAACTGTGAAAGTGAACTAGTGAATAGATTAGTGCTGTCAAACGATTAACAAACGATCAATAAAGTTTTTGTTTACGTAATATATGTATGTGTACTGTTTATTTATTATTTAAATATAAATACAAACACATGCATGTATATATTTAAGAAAATATGTTGTTTATATATTAAATATATTTATATATAGTATAAATATATAAATGTATATACACGTAAATATTTTCGAAATATATACTGTATGTGTGTGTATTTATAATAAATAAACACAGTACATATACATATATTATGTAAACAAAAACTTGCGATTAATCATTTGACAGCACTAGAATAGATACGTTTTCCTATTCGGTGCATTGATGTTTAATGTCCCAGATAACTTTTATAGTCCCATTTAGCCACATCTTAGCAATCCTTCAAAACAAGTAAAAGCTTTTTAAAAACCACAAGATGGTTAGTCTTGGGGGTAGTAATGCATTACAAGTAGTGTGAGTTACATAATCAGATTACTTTTATCAAGTAACTAGTAAAGTAATGCATTATTTACAAGAAAATATCGGAGTTACTTTTTCAAATAAGTAACACTAATTACTTTGTTTTCCGATTTATTCACTGACAGCTCTTCTGTCCCCATGTTGATAGAAATCAGTGCAGAGGTGTTTCCTTCAGCCTGAGGCTTATTTATTTCACTTTTGGTGTAAAAGAGCCTTTACAGTTGCCGAAAATACACCTTTTGCCCAGCTCAGGAGACAAAAAGTTATTCAAAAGTAACGTAATGCATTACTTTACATAAAAAGTAACATAATTAGTTACTTTTTTTATGGAGTAACGCAATATTGTAATGCATTACTTTTAATAGTAACTTTACCCCACAGAGAAGATGGTATTACTAATGTATTTTACATTGTAGAATAAAACATGTGTTTGCTAGCTTGTGTTAACTATAGTCCTTATTTCAGGCATTTAACCAAAAACTTATATATACACTGAACAAAATTATAAACACAACACAATATTTTTGCCCCCATTTTTCATGAGCTGAACTCAAAGATCTAAGACTTTTTCTATGTACACAAAAGGCCTATTTCTCTCAAATATTGTTCACAAATCTGTCTAAAGCTGTGTTAGTGAGCACTTCTCCTTTGCCGAGATAATCCATCCACCTCACAGGTGTGGCATATCAAGATGCTGATTAGACAGCATGATTATTGCACAGGTGTGAGGTGTTCTCTTCACAGATGAATCCCGGTTTTCACTGTACAGGGCAGATGGCAGACAGCGTGTATGGCGTTGTGTGAGTGAGCGGTTTGCTGATGTCAATGGTTTTCGGACCCCCACGGACCACCCAAGTACAGTAAAACTGCACATTTTAGAGTGGCCTTTTATTGTGGCCAGCCTAAGGCACACCTGTGCAATAATCATGCTGTCTAATCAGCATCTTGATATGCCACACCTGTGAGATGCATGGATTATCTCGGCAAAGGAGAAGTGCTCACTAACACAGATTTAGACAGATTTGTGAACAATATTTGAGAGAAATAGGCCTTTTGTGTACATAGAAAAAGTCTTAGATCTTTGAGTTCAGCTCATAAAAAATGGGGGCAAAAACAAAAGTGTTGCGTTTATAATTTTGTTCAGTGTATATATATATATATATAAAACACCTCTGACTTCAGGACGATGGAACTGAAAGTACTAAAATGCTGCTTCATTTTGGGGTTTCAGCCGACACTAATGCACCATGCTTGCAGCACTCTATAATGACAGAATGTTCATTTTTGGGTGAACTATCCCTTTAAGAGTGCCACATGCTGAATGCACCTGCCTCTCTGGAATTTTCTCTCTCCTTCCAACCCATGCCACTGTCACGCCTCTCCTGACACCTGATGGTCGAGTGGAGTACTGCAGGCCAGGACAGGCTGGCAGTGCCCAATATGTTAACTGACTGTTTTTCAACTCTGTCTCCTCTCTGCCTGAAAAATACATCATTACTGATTAATAATGATGTATTTAAGTAAATGAACCGTAACAATAATATCACAATTTGTATCTTTTGCATAACAGAAAAAGGATCCATGATAATTTTTTGATTGAAAAAAGCCAGTGAGACAGGGTTGGAAGATAAGTCAGCCTTACCTCATGGGTGTTTACTCAACCTCTGTCAAGGTCGGGTTCACTGAATGAGGTAGGCCAAACTAAACCACCGCACACCGTCCTTGGGGTGACCGTCACTGTATCTCCCTGCTGGTCTGTGCGCTACTAACCAAAATTGTGACTTCAGGGTCACCTCCAAACGCTGCTGAGGCGTTACGTTGACGTACTTTAGAGGTTATTAAGAGGTTATTGTCCCCTCCTGGTGTGGTAGGCTCCCTGTGGCGCTATGTCAGGGCGAGCATGACCCTTTCCGGGTACCTGCCACCCCTCTGCGACCCTAAAGATGGAAACCTGCTCATGGATGGAGGATACATCAACAACCTGCCAGGCAAGTACGGCCCAGAGCAACTCCTCAGAGAGAGGGCCGCTGGGGCCAGAAATGCAATCTGGTTTGGTCAGTCACTTAATTATTGGTTTTAAAGTGCTACATGGCTCGGAGTAAGTATACTGTGATTTTCTTCATCATTTTGAGGGTAGAATGAGTGGTTTTGCTTTATCCATTTGAACTCAGAATGTGTGTCTATTTTAATATGTTAGTTAGTCAATTTGGCATCTTGGAGATTTCCAGCACATTTTAAATTAATTTCAAACATTCACTCAATTCTAGAGTCTCTTAGATCAGTTTATGATTTGTACAGAGACAAATGGATAAAGTTCTGCAGGGATTGGGTGGTGTGGACAAAGATGCTCAGGTGTTTGACCTCTTGTCTTCACCAGCCTATTAAAAACTGAAATTTTATCAGACTGTAAATATCAATCATAGCAAGCTGCTGTTGTTGTCTGGTGTACGATTGGTCTTAAATTGTGATTATAAATATTTTGTATCTCTTCTTTACAATATAGGAAAGTGTGATTTAATGTAGTCAAATTGTAAATGGATTAGTTTCCGAAATATAAAAAGAAAATCTTAAATCAACCAAAAAAACTAATCACCAGACAGCAATAGCATAATGTCCCTCAGTTTGCAGTGCAACATATATTGGGCAGAAAGATATAGTTCACGTAGTTCAGATGTTGCATTTCAACTGGGAACATCTTAATTTAGGGGAAAAAGACAAGATTTTGTATTTGACATCACATTCCGTGTTATAATTTGATTTAATATAATTGAATTCATTAGTTCATCAAGCAGTTTGCACTGCTAAAGACACAATTATTTCTTGCATTGAAATCATCTGTGTTATTGCCAGAGCTGGGTAGATTACTTACAAATTGTAGTCCGTTTCTGATTTCAAATTACATGACAAAAATTGTAGTTAGCAACGTAATCCATTACATTACACATTTTAGGTAATATAATCAGACTACTTTCTGATTACTTTTAGATTACTTTTTGACCTAACTTGTTCATCACATCGATTTAAATAGTATAATCTTGTACCATATTGAGATTTTTTTTTTAAAGAAAAGTAAAAATATATTCTATTTGTTATAATTAACTAAATGAAGTGCTTTATATTATGTCAAGGTTTGCCAAACTGGAGTTCATAAAAGAACTGCAGGGTGTTTGAGAGTTTAAATAAAAGCTAATAATTAATTAAATTGTAAACACATAAAATTAACATAATTGTAAAATAACGTCAATCAAAATAAAACACTTACTAAAAATGTACCTGCATGTCATGTGACCATTAACCAAAGTCAGAGATCCGTGAACATGCTAATGCTAATTTACATATAAATAAGAAATAACAAGAATTTTAATGTGTTTGAAAGACAAATGCCTCCCAAATTACATAAATGTAATTTAATCTAAAGTACTTTTCTTTCTTTTTTTGGGGGAATATGATTACGTAATTCAGATTACATGTAATCAGTTACTACCCAGCTCTGGTTATTGCCTGTAAAGCAGATTGGATACAATTCCAGGGAATAGTTCTTAACTCTTTTTTTTTTTTTTTTTTGGTAATGCATCAATTTTTAAGCCTACATTGTTAGGTTTTAATTGCGTCTTGTCTTGTCATCATTGAATATAATTGTCTTTTTCCATCCTTTGTTATTACTGATCACCTGCAAGGCTGTTTTACCACAATTCTCAGCAAATGTGAAAAAAGCAAAAAGAATCTACTTGATTCAAAAATGTTCATTCTTACTTTTAAACGTTGATGTTTATTTGATTATATTACTGATGAAAATGGCAGCATTCCAAGTGAGCGGTTTGGTTAAACAGCGTTGATTGGTGATCAATTATTAATTGGAGAATTAATTCTGAAATATTAACGGTACTTTAAATCTTGCTGCTACCTTGTGGATGTCTGTCTTTGTGTACGTGTGCATTTGTTTGCGTTCAACTGGCACTCTTAACGCCCTGCAGCGGACATAGCTCGTAATATGGGCACAAAGACAGTCATCGCCATCGATGTGGGCAGCCAGGATGAGACTGATCTTTGTAACTACGGTGACAGTCTTTCTGGCTGGTGGCTGCTATGGAAACGAATCAACCCTTGGGCGGAGAAAGTGAAGGTGAGTCAATGTTGTGGGATTTTAGAACACTTCTTGTGGAGCCAATGCAGCCGTTTCAATTTGAGATCCTCTAATGGGATTAAAATCTTCAGGAAATACTTTGAATTTGTACAGTCTATGAAATCGATTGTGCTAGCTCTGCGTAAATGGTTTAAAAACGTCCTGTATCTCTCAGGTGCCTGACATGGCTGAAATCCAGTCCCGTTTGGCCTATGTTTCTTGTGTACGACAGCTGGAACTTGTCAAGAAGAGCGCATACTGCGAGTACATTCGGCCACCCATCGACCGCTTTAAGACCATGGACTTTGGGAAATTTGATGAAATCTATGTGAGAACAAAAGCCCACATCTGCAGTAAACACAGGGGGACAATTAATCTATGTAGTCTTGATACTATAAAATGAAAAGCAGTATAGTATTTATTATAGTGTACATATAGCAATTCTTCCAGATGGTAAATGACCTCTCAAAACTGGTATATTCTAAGTTTTTCTGTTTTCTCTAAGGATGTGGGTTATCAATATGGTAAACTAGTGTTTACTGAGTGGGCTCGTGGGGACATTATAGAAAATGTGCTGAAAGACCATCGCTCAGCGGACTACAACGACAGCAAGAAGACTGATGTGAGTTTAATATCTCATTAAAACAAGGCACTAGTCTATCACCCTTTTGACAATGAATATTAGAAGCCTTTGATAAATAGAAAGTTCACAAAGAATTGTGCAACAATGTAAATGTCTTTACTGTCACATCCTTGTGACTGATGATCAATCTAATGCATCCTTACTGAATAAAAGCATTATTCTTTCTTTCAAAACAAAATTTGACCCCAAACTTTTTAGATTAATGAATTTTTAGTTTTTTTCATTAAATTGCGTATTAAGTTGTAATTTGTCTATTAATTTCATTCTGTAGTGATTGTGTTTTGTTGCTATTTGTTTCAGTCGTGCACATGTCCTAGTGCAGACTTCACTGATCTAGCTGAAATTGTGTCCAGGATCGAGCCGGTGCAGAGCTACTTAGGAGCTGATGGTCAGTTACTCAAAAGAAAAAAAAATGCTCCTTTGCTAATTTACCCCATTACATTTATTTGAAGATTTAGCTTCTGAAATTTATGACAGAATTGACGAGGTATTTAAAATTACAACATTGGCCAGCAGAGTTGGTATTATATCATGTACTTGTGCTTAACTGGTGTTTATGTGTCTAGCAGAGGAGTCTGACTATGCGACGGAGTATGAGGAGGACGGGATGGACCGAGTGAGAGAGGAGGAGGGTGAGGAAGAGGAAGAGGAGGAGACCGAAGACCCTGAGGACCAGTCTCCTGGAGAATGGGGACCAAATGGGATCTTCACATCAGTAAGTGTACACACAACCTTTTATATAAGGCCCTAAAAGTTCAGTGAAATTAAAGTCAGGTGACATTAAAAACAAAGTCATTTGTGTAGGATGAAGAGAAGACCGTCCGTCAGAGGAAGAACATCACCAGGGACCCCAACTTGGACTTCTCTGGAGTGTCAGATTGCTGAAAAGGGAGTAATGCAGGGTCAAAGGGCACTGGAAAGAGAAGCAGAGTCCCACCAGGGACTGACGAGTATAAAGACAAATACAGAAGAAAAGACTTCTGAATTAATAAGATTGTTGGAAAGTCACCAAAGATACTGTGATTTAGACCCTGCTAACATTACATTACCCACCAAAACTGTGACTCTGTTATGCCTTTGGGAATTTTTTTTTTTTTTTTTTTTTCTCAAGACTCCAAAGTCCAAAGATTGTGGGGGCCCACCAAGGCAGAGGAACCACTCCTTGAGATACTTTGCCACTGAAATTTGGGGCTCTACATCTTTTGAGATGTTTTGGGAGTTTCATGGGAAAAGATGTCTACAGTAGTGGCCAGTATACCACTATCCTTAAGTTCTGGTTTTCCTGTCTCTTTCCAGACGATACCAGTTCAGTAGAGAATAGTGTGTGGTGTAGCTGGTTTGTGATTTTAATTTATTTTAATTTTTTTTGTGAATGTGTGTGTGTGTATGGCCACAACCTAAACATGCATTGGCACCTCCTCTCATAAGATGCCTTCTAGACTGAAAATGGCTTCCCAAGATGCATTGTTGAAGGTCTGAAAGACTTCAAGAGGAAGTGATGGTCTACAATGGTTAGATTGTGATTTGAGGGTATTTGATGTAAGGTTGCAATGCTTGAAACTTATTAGGAAAAAGCACTGCAGATTTTTTGTAACAGTGTCCCTGATATCTAATATTATTTTAAAGAGGGTCAACAGAGTGGAAAGCTATGTAGGTGGTCAAATGTGGGATAAATTATAATAGGAAACATCTCAGTGGGACAATCAATCAAGAATGATAAAAAAGTAAGGATTTTTAGGAAAGAGTAGTAGGAAAGAGAAACAGATAAATATAGCAAGGTAGAGTAAGGTACATAAATAATAAAGTAGGGTGTGAAGAGGAAGTAACAATGATATGCAGCGAAGAAACGAGTGAGCATGGAAGAGTGAGGAGGTGATTGCAGTAGTAAGCCAAAAAAATGATGCAGGAGTGAGCGAGGAAGTGAGAGCTGTAGGGAAGGAAGTGGGTCGTGGGTGTGAGTGAGGAAGTGGGTGGAATAGAGTCAGGAAGTGGATGTGGTAGAGAGCGAGAGCAGTAAAGAGTGTGAGGAAGTGAAGGGCAGAAGTGATCGTGGAAATGGTCGCAGTAGTGAGTGAGGAAGCGAGATCGACAGAATGTGAAAAATGAGTGACAGAGTGAGGAAAGGGAATGCAGGGAATGCAGAAGGCTTTCATCAGGAGTATCGTTAATCTTGTGTGGAATTGGATGTGTGTTTTGCCTGTGTGTGTGTGTGTTTTCAGCCTTTCAGAAATGCAGAACTACTTGTGCTTCAAATAGACGAGGTGGATGCCTTATTTTGTTATTGCACATTCACAAAGCAAAAAAAAAAGAGAAAGAGATGAACAAAAACACCTGTAATATAATCCCATGAAGATGTGGGGAGTTTAAATTGTTGTATTGCTGAACGAGTGCCAGATATGCCGTGTCCAGTACTGGAGCAGATCTTCCTTGCATTCCAAAGCCAAATGTCATCCTTCCCATATTCACCAACCTAAAAACTGTCCATAATCAATGTATATTATCTCTGAAACCTCACTGAGATGTACAAATTCCTCAACCCTTGATGCTTTTGCTTTGTTTCAGTCTTTTATGCTGAGACGGTTTGTTTTATATGTTTATGAGAACTGAAAGGATTGCCAACTACTATTTAATTGATTTGTTTTACCACTGGCTTTTTAAATAGCTTTAGAGATTGTAGAGAATAACAGTAAGCGGTTTCTTATTTTGCTTGATTAGCATTTTTGCACTGATGATAATGTAGAAAAAATTATGTTGAATGTCTAATATAAAAGGTGGCTGAGGTACAGACGGTTCACGTGTGTGTGTGTGTGTGACCATTTGAAGCCTCAGAAATAAATGCTGAATAATGAATAATAAAATCCTATTTAATGCCATGCTGACTAAATCGCTTTTTGAAATAAGGTATTATGTTCCCAAGTGATTATTTATGACTTTTGAAATGTAAAGCAACTTTATCCGTGGGAAAGACCTAAATAAATCCTATTCTACTACATTTTTTGTCAATATACAGATAACTGTAGATTTAAAACTGACAGGTTTATTCACATCAACACCTGATGAAGGGAATGGGTCATTATATGGATGCTCCTGTGACATGTCATCTTTCTGCGTCCGATGTGAGACCACAAGCATCTATTGAGACTGGTGAAGAGAACATTGATATTAAAGGTGTGTGTGTGTGTGCAGGTTTGAATATACTTGCGAGGTCTAAATGTCCTCACCAATATAGTGAAACCTGTTCAACGTAGTTAGCCTAGTCACTAATTAAAAAGTTTATAAAACTGCTTTTTGTGTCTATGTTGGTGATGATCTTTTAAAAACCCTTTGTACCATTTTCAAGACGTTTAAATTTTGTAACTTAAGTATTAGGATTTGTTAGGTATTATGTACGGTCGTCTTATAGAAATAGCTCTTTAAGGGATAGTTCCTCCAAAAAGTAAAGTTCTGTCATTAATTGGTTACTGTCACACTGTCTATGGGAGGGTCAGAAAGCTCTCTGATTTCATCAAAAATATCTTAATTTGTGTTCCAAAGATGAACAAAGGTCTTACAGGTTTGGAACGACATGAGGGTGAGTAATTAATGACAGAATTTTCATTTTTGGGTGAACTAATAACCCTTTAACATCAAACATCTTGTATAGCCTGTTATGATCATGTGTTCACACTAGTGCTCTTTTCTGTTAATAGGAACACAGTTTTCACACAAGTGCGAGTGACACGTTTAATAAATTAAAATAGCATTTGTTTGTCAGTAGATGTTTATGGTATAACGTACAGTAAGCCAGTCATACTTAGAAAGTAGAAACGAAATATAAGCTCAGCTTCTGCTAAGAAAAATGGCACACGCAACGTAGTAAAACTTGACAAGTATTCATTTTAATTTATATATTATCATTATTAATCTGCATACGATTTTAGTTATCTCTATATTTAGTTCTCTTTCATCCGGCAATATGAGTCGCTTTTAAGAAGCTATTGTATTCCAAGAAAGTATTAACTATTTATCGTTGCATGTTAAATTATAGTCGTTACAGTATATTACAGCATTCAGTAAAATAAAGAAATTTCCCATTTATTCCATTCTGAAATTGCAGAAGTCAGGAATATAGTACAGTAGGCTATTTTATATTTTGTTTATATATTAATATTGACTATAAAATACATTTGTACTAAACCAACTAGCATTTTTTCATGCTGTATAGCCAAAAGAAAACTTGACTTATTTTGATTAACAAAATGTTTGGAGAGTTTTTAATAATCCCTAGCAACCAATTGACCAATTGTGGCAGAAAGCTCAGTAAAGGTCTGATTGTAGTAGCTACATAAAAATAAACCACGTGAACACTTGTTTTAGGTTTTTGAAAGTTTTTAATTTTTCCCAAAAGAAAAAAAAAATCCTGAGGTATTCAAAATATAATGGCATTTCTTTCATTTGAAATGAGGAAACAAAAAAAAAGTGGGGAAGGGGGGACATCAAAATGATAAAACTGATGGCGGTCTCTCAATACAATACAACAGGCTGGGATACTTCTGCTCCATATATAATATTAAGACGGTACCCAAAAAAAGCTAAATAAATAAACGTAAAAAAAAAAAATCACCTAAAACAAGCTACATTGTTCGTGCTTGGCTGTTGTAGTTGAGTCTTATTTTTTACATACCACATCAAATATCTTCGATTAAATCAAACTAATCCCAAAAAGTTAGCAAAAATGTTGCATCATATCTATATTCTATAACTTTCATGTATCCATATACCAGAGAACATATAAGGTTGTCTAAATTTGTTGGCACAAAGCATTTCTAATTTTTGCAATATATTTTTCAAGCTGTTGAAATATGCCAACAAATGGTTCTTTTTGATTTGAACAGCATGTCAATGGCCGCATCAACCAGAATTAGCAGGTTTAAACATTTCTAAACTCCATCTATCAGTTAAATAGAATTTGGTGAACTACATGGTTCTAAACTCCATGTCAATTAATAATAATAATAATAATAATAACAAAATCCTCCAGTGCAACAGCAGCTAAAAATTGTGAGATTTCCACATAAAAACACATTGTAACCATACAGCAAATCAGAGCTCTAATAACAGCTCTGGGGGGGAAAAGACAATGTGTTACCAAAAAAGAAAAAAAGAACAATAAATGATTGCTTAGCTTCAACAGAAAAAGACACACCTTTGACGCAACATTCCCCAGAAACATTTTGAAACAACTCGCAATATGTCCCACTTTTCTCTTAATTTGGTGTGATCTTAACCCTGAAGATAATAGTAATAACAACTGTAATAAGACAAACAAAATGGTAATTGTATTTAAAGTTGAAAATAAATGGTTACAAAGGACCAAAATGCATACAAAATAATAGACTTTTGGTTTTCTAACAGCTGAAGACACAACGTCTTGCTAAAACCTCTTTCAGCACTCATTCATAGATCAATGGAACACAAATACAACACAGAAGAAAAACAAACAAAAGGTCAAGAATCAAAACGACACAATGTCATTAACAGCTTGAAATCATCCAACAATGATAAAAGTAAAAATTCTATAATCAATATTACGATCAAAAAGTCAGACATAAAAAGGCAAAAGTGTGTCTTTTTCTAAAAACGTTTTGGAAAAAAGTACAGTATTATATATATATATATATATATA